ATATTATATAGCAAATACTTGTCATTAATTTTGCATATGTTGTTACTTCTACATGCATAAACTTTTTATTGAAATATAGCATGCAAAGAGAAAGGGACAATTCACATTTTCACAAAGTGAACACCTATATAACCAGAACCCGTATCAAGAAATAGAACATTACCAACACTCTAGTTGCCCTCCTTGTGCTTGGTCCAGGCACTATGCATGCCCCCAAAGAGCCACTATCATGACTTCTAACTCCTTTGATTAGTCTTGCCTGTAGCTGAACTTTGTTTAAATGCGATCACAAAGCGCAGACCCTTTTACGTCTGGCCTCTTTCACTCAACATTATTTCTGTGACATTCATCCATAGTATTGCTTGCTGTACAGTGGTCTGTTCATTTTCATTGCTGTATGGTATTTCATTGTTTGAATCAACCATAATTATACATTCTAATGGTAGTGAACATTTGGGAAGCTTCTATAATCAGGTGTTTTTAAGCAAAGTGTTTGAGCAGAGGACAGCAAGACTGTGGGGACCTGTAGTATTTTAAATAATGAAAGGTTTGAAATTATGGTTTTTTTCCCAAAAAAAAACAGATTTTCAGTCTACAAGGACTTGCTGAGAAATCCCAGCTTTGAGCTCAAGCAAGAGCTTCATAGGCCAAGGACAGCGGTATTCACATTGCAGAAACTGTAGTACTAAAGCCTCCAGGTTCCCCAGTAACACACAATATCAAAATTCTCAGTCACTACTGTACAGAAACTATTCTGCACTTCAAGCTTTCACAAAAGGAAAATCAAGCAAAAACCCACACAACAGAGAGATTGATTGACACAAGGACGTTTGGTCTTCCCTTTTCTTGGCTATAGCATGCGATAAAACCTTTTGCTAACAGAGATTCAAACCTTCCCCAAAATTTAAAGGAAAATTATACTTCCAAAAAGATGTCCTGCACTGATCCAGGGGATATAGTCTCAGACATATCACCTTTTAAAAGCCTGGGCCTAGGGCTCTCCTCCAGAGGCCACATTGTAGTAAGCAGTATGATTAAGAGGAAATGGTTTTGGAGCTAGAGAGACCACCGCTTGAAATTGGGCTCTGCCACAGCCTAGCTGTGTGGCTTAGGCAAGTTACTTAACCCCTCTACACCATAACTTCCTTGTCTATCAAAAGGGAAGAGGACACTTTCTCCCTTGCAAGGGTGTTGTAATAATCATAGATTACCAATGTAAAGTTGCTGGCACTTGGGAAGCATGTAAGGGATGGCTGTTGTCATCACTGGGCAAAGCTTATCCTTAAGACCTTCCACATTCAAAAGACCCTCTCTCCCAACAGTCCTCTAGCCCACAAGCCTCCTGTGGCTGCTCAATTCATAAGAAGTTATAAATGACTGGTGGGTTTAGACGTCCAAAAGAAAATTCTAATTCAAGAATGTTTTCATCTAAGTGAATCTTTAATTGTCAAGTGGGGTATTTGGAAGAGGTACATAGATAATCGGAGTCAGGAAGCTTCATTAAAAACCTAGCACTGCTGGGGTATGACTGGCGAAGGTCCTTAGGCACTGCTCTTGCTGAAGGGGATTAAGAAGTGACCATGAAAATAGGGCCTTCAGCAACAGATGCTGACACAGATCCACAGAATCTCTGCTTGTAAAGCAAGCAATGGTCGAGGATTATCTCCAGGCTCTGGTGCGCTCACTAAGAGTGGAGAAAGCCCATCAGAGGCAGATGAGCCAATTTAGGGATGGCAGGGGCTGGAAGGAGGGGAGGCATTCAGCTTAGTAAGCGCCAAAGAAATCATAGTATGTGGAGAAAGACAGGAGAGCCACCTCAGCAGATGGAAATGGTACCTGTTATCTCCCTTCTCCCTGCTGTTCCCTCCTCCCCCTCGGTGGCAGGGGCACATTTCCTTCCCAAAGGCAGGATTGGCCTGTGTACCTACTGGACCTTGTATTTCATCTGCCTCTACTATAGACAGAACACAAAGTCCACCTGGAAGGCTGAAGAGCCCCACAGTTCAATCAGCTGGCCTGTAGGGGCTGATGAAAGACAAAAAGGGTTTGTGTGTGTGTGTGTGTGTAATCTAGAGAGTCATGGGACTTTGTTCCTAAAGGAGAGATGTATTGTGATTCAGAGAGAAAAGCTAAGTATTTAAAGATCACTTGCTTCTGAGCTAATGTTGACTGAGAAAACAATTTGCAAAGCAGAAGTTTTATTCATTTGGTGTAGCATCAAAAATTTATGCTGTGTGCCCATCAACAGATGAATGGATAAATAAACTGTGGTATATACACACAATGGAATACTACACAATGATAAAGAATTATGACAAATCCATGAAACATCTCACAACATGGATGAATTTGGGGGATATTATGCTGAGTGAAATAAGCCACTCACAAAAGGACAAATATTGTATGAGCCCACTATTAAAAAAAAAAAAAAGGCAAGAAAAGGTTTACACACAGAAAAAAACATTCTTTGATGGTTACCAGGGAAGGGAGGGGGAGTGAGGGTAAATTCCTTAATAGATAGAAGACACGTGGTGATATTGGTGAGGGGAAAGGCAATAAACTATATGGGGAGAGTTAGCACAACATGAGAAAGGCAAAGGAAGACAATGAAAGGAACACAAGAACAACGGGCAACTAAGGCAATTACTATAACATAGGCAATCCTGCAACAACAGTATTAAACAGTGATTTACTAAGGGATACATAGGTAGGTAGGCTAAAGAGGTGTGGGAGGGTGTGAGGGAGTGACCCCAACTGCAGATTTAGGTTAAGTTGTGGATCTCTCTACATATATATTTGTAGATGTTGCATGTATACCAATATAGACAATAGAACACACAAGGGGCACGGTCATGGAAACTACTTATGCACAACCAAACACCTCCCAGGACAAAGATACTAGGCTTGAAGGCTAAGGACTATAGACTCGGGGGGCATCTACGTCAATTGGCATAACATAGTGCATAAAAACAATATTCTACACCTTCTTTGGTGAGTAGCATCTGAGGTCTTAAAAGCTTGCGAGTGGCCATCTAAGATACAGCTAGTGGTTTCTTCCTATCTGGAGTAAAGGAGAGTGAAGAAAACCAAAGACTTAAGGAGCAATTAGTCCAAAGGACTAATGGACCACATGCATTACAGCCTACACGACCCTGAGACCAGAAGAACTAGATGGTGCCCAACTACTACTGCCAACTGCTCTGACCAAGATCACAATAGAGGGTACCGGACAGCGTGGGAGAAAAATGTAGAACAGAAAATCAAATTCACAAAAAAAGACCAGACTTACTGGCCTGATAGAGACTGGAGGAACCCCCAAGACTATGGCCTAAGATACCCCTCTGACTTGGAACTGCAGCCATTCCTGGAAACCACCTTCTAGCCAAGCAATAGACAGGCCTATAAAATACAGTAACACCCGAAAAGAATGTGCTCCATAGAACAAACAATTATATGACACCAAAAGGGTAACATTTGCCCAAAAGTAAAGAAGAGAAGGCGGGAAGGGGTAGGAAAACCAGACAAAAGGAAACAGTGAACTCAGGGCGGAAATGGGGAGAGTGTTGACACATTGTGGGAATTGCAACCAATGTCATGGAACACTTTGTGTACAATTTGTTGAATGGGAAATTAATTTGCTCTGTAAACTTTCACCTAAAACACAATTTTTTTTAATTCTATTAAAAAAAAAAATTCATACTGCACTCAGTAGCTTAGTAGCAAATGGTCTTTATCCCTAAAGGAAATATATAAAGTATTTGTTCACAGAAGAGATAAAAAATGCCCCATAATTATGAGATAAATGAGTCACAGCCATTAGTCAGATTATGACCAAGATATCACACAGGTTGGTCATGTAATTGTTTCTGTAATTATGTGAAAAGGACTGGGCAGAATAATTCATAGAAAACCCTTATTTTAATACTTCAGTTTTACAGTTAGATCAAGCTGGAACATTTTGCCCATTTCAGATATATGTGGAATTTCTGGCTGTAAGAGTTGGTAGTACTAAACCATACTAAACGTCCTTCATAAACAATCCTCCAAACTCACCTGCCTTGTTTTTCAAGGTAACTCAATCCCATCCACAAACTTGTTTAAGCAACTGGAAGTAGGTATATTTAGCAGCGGAACAGCATGATTAGAAGTGTGGTTGAGCTAAATGCGCCCCGATAACAGTATCTTGGTTAGTGATGAACATAAGAAATGCAGAATTCCGAAGAAAGCATATTTCTAGTGTTAATGACTTCATTTCATCATTTAACAGACATTTATTGAGCCCAAGCCCGTTGCCATCAAGTTGATTTCGACTCACAGCAACCCTATAGGACAGAGTAGAACCGCCCCATTTGGTTTCAAGGAGAGGCTGGTGAATTCAAATTGCCAATCTTTTGGTTAGCAGCTGAGCTCTTAACCACTGCTTCACCGGGGCTCCATTTAAAGAACTAGGTGTTAAACTATATCTGAAGTTCAAATCTCATTGTGAAGGAACATTTTCTAAATTGACTTTGTCTATAATGGACAGGTATTTGAAGAACTTTTTAGGAAGATTTTTTAAAATCCTAGACTTAAATTCAGGCTATTTTGACATTACAGAAAAATATTGTATCTGAAACGTACTAAACAGGATATATAAATTGATATATTTATAAATGTATATATTTATTTAAATTTAGTTATAGCTTTTGTTTTTCTCTATTTCTGCACAGTGTCAAAAATGAAAATAGCTGACTGGAGGTTTAGATGGCCTGCATAGGAAGTTCATCCCTTGGGTACCTTCCTGCTCTAGGGCTCGGCCATTCTATAAGCGCCCGGAAGTAATAGAGCATTTGTAGCATTATCGCTTATTGTACATCTTTCATCTCTTCATACTATCTATGCAGCTTCTTGCCTTCTTGGAGCTTCGGAGCTTTTTAACTAAATTGTTTGGCTAGGAGTATAGCTAATACTGTATTTAAAATCTCTTTTTCTTGTTTTGTCAAACTTTTGAACAACTTTAGATTCACAAGATTCATCGTGATTCAGGAGACAATTCTCAGACAGGTGAGAATACTTCAATTTAACTCTTATACACTTGGGCATTTGTGGGTTCAAGTCTGCAAATAGCTCTGAAGAAGTCTAGATTGACATTTACCGCCCCGGAACCTGGATTGCTAAAATCTGAGTACTGATTTAAGAATGTTGTAGAGCCAGAAGAAAAACAGAATTCCTTGAATCTTCATTCAGGGCAATCTTCTCTACTCCTCATCCTGGTTTTCTTTCCTGGTTAGAGACCATGAAGAGTAGATAAACCCAAAATAGACAGTGTCCGAAAGTCCAGTGGAGACATGTTGCTGTTCAGCCATATTCAGTCTTCCCTTTCTTTGCAGTAATTGATGACAGTATAATCAGAAAACGTGACTGGGCCCTGGCCTGGGAGTCAGGAGTCCTGAGTCCCATTCTAGCTCCCCACTCACTTGCCTCATACCTTGGGCAAGACTCCAATGTCTGACCCTTGGTTTCATCATCCTTAAAACGAAGGAGATGGAGCTGATGATTTCTACATGTAGAAAGACCTGAAATTCTCTGATCATCAAAGGGAAAATCAGTCTACTATGAAAGATTTAAAATTCTTGTTCTGCAAGAATTCCAACTAACACATCCTCTCCCTGTTGGTGACTTCTAGCCACTACTGCATAGTCAGACCCTGGGCTATTTGTTTAGTCCCTCTCCTTGCTCTAGGATGGACTGTATTTCGCCTACTCAGAAAGATTTCATTTCATCTTTCTGACCCTCAGTTTCTTCATTTGTAAAATGAATTAATAATGCTGATCTTATTGTTCTGAGGATTAAAGGAAAGTGGATATACTATCTAGCAGTACCTGACATTTAACTGTTAGGTATCCTCCTTCCCCTTTTCTGAAAACTAGGGATGACACAATGACACTTCACACACACACACACACACACACACACACACACACACACACACACACACACACACACACATTCCCTCCTCCCCTCCCTTCCCCTCAGTTGGTTTAGTTAATTTCTTATAACCTTACATCAAAGGCAATATTTTAATTATATAACTTACGAGGTGTGCCAAAATCTGTCATATACATTTTCATATCCTTTATAGTGTCCAGCATTGCCTTGCATCTAACAGACACTCAGTAAACAGAGAACACTGATAAATTGAAACCACTGCATGTCAGAAACTAGGTTCTACCATTTATTAGCTCTTTGACTTTGGGCTACCTACTTAATCTCTCTAAGCTTAAATTTCCTCATCAGTAAAATGGGAACCACACTATGCAGCTTTCAGAATTGTTATGATGATTAAATGAGGTGGCTATATTTTAAGTTCCTAGCACAATGCTTGGTGCATAGTAGGTGCTCAGTAAGTGGTAGGTGGCATGATATCCCTTTATGCCATTGGGGTTAGTTATTTAAATATCCTTTATCCTTTTCTCTGGTGAAGTTTTTAATTCATTCCACAAACATCTGTTGGGAGAATGAATGATGAATTATTTTTATTTAAATAGCATTATTTAGCCTTTATTGAAGACTAATTTCTTTATATGTTTAATCATTACTGTTGCTATGGAGCCTCTTAATTTTAGCTGGCATCAAATCAGGAAGAATAAGCATCATCTACCTTTGAATAATCTCTAATACATGACTTGGAATTCAACAAGCCAATCTGGATCACAGTCTTGAAACTCACCACCCTACTTTAGTTTTATCTGGAAACTGCATTTTGAGAATTTTTGTGTTCTGTAATCTTGAATTTAATCTTAAATCTTTAAGTTAACATTTATCATTTGATACACAAATAAATGTTAGGAATTTGTATGATTATCAAATCCCTGAATAGGCTAAAAACAAATTTTTCGTTTCTTAGTGTTTGAAAGATGCTTATGATCCTAGAAATATCTAAAGTACCACTGACCATAGGTGTCTCTATAAGGAAATGCTGAAACTCATATTCAAGTTCAAGAAAATCATTAAGGCAGAATCTGGAAGATAAAAATTAGGCAAAAGGATAGTAAATATTTTAAGTTAGATCATTTAAGACGAGGTTCTCTGGCTGTGGTGTTCAGATTAACTTTCTAAGAGCTTTCCTTTCACTTCAAGTCATATAAACATAATTCAGATTTTTTCATTGATTTAACCATCTTTTACTGAATCAGATTTTTTACTGCCAAACAAAGGACAGTACACTAAAATAAATGGTTAAAAAGGTGATATAGAAAGTGTCTAAGACATTATAAAGTGAAGACAGCAAATAGTAGAACAATATAACACAATCCCAGGTATATATGATGTATATGCAAATGCACATATGTAGTTAATAGTAATAACCAACATGTACTAAATGCTTAGTATGTGCCTAATGCTGTTCTAAGACTTATGTATGGATTAACTCATTTAATTCTCATAACAGCCTAAGACTGAGATGCTATGATTATCCCCATTTTAAAGACATGAATACTGAGACACAGAGAAGTTAAGTAACATTTCCAAGGTTATACAGCTACTGGTTGGCATACTGGACATTTGAACTTTCGCAGTTTGGCTCTGGAGCTGGTTCTCTTAACAATAACGCTTTTTTTTGGGGGGGGGGGGTATCACTAGATAATTCCTTAAGCATTATTATGTCTTTTTTCTTTTTCTTTCTTGGAATATGACCATTTACTGGTGTCCTGCTGAAACCTCCATGTCTGCCTCCAAGCTTAGCACAGAGAGAAGTGATGCTGTGTTATGGTTAAGATTTCTCTCCTTGCTCCTGCGTTACTCCCACAAGAAGCAAATGCCCTGAAAATGCATGTTGCTGAAGCCAGCACTTCAACCCCGACAGTTTCATCCCTTGGTTCTCAGTGATGGCACACACTTAGATTTTACATTAATGTGACAGCATGTTTTGAGTGTTAAATTCGAAGTCTGCAAAACTTATGCAGAATCTCTTTTAAAGCGCTTTTTCCTTCAAAAATGGAGACAAGGGTGAGAGTTTACGTAGTTATTGGAAATTTGGGGGGGATATAAAACTACTTTTTCTTTCCTTCGCTTCTTGTGATCAGCAGTATGCATCATTTGATGAAATTACATCCTCAAAAGAACTTAGAAAATTACTTAGAGATCTGGCTTTTCAGAGGTGTCCAAAATTGGTCTGAATTAGTTTCTCAAATTAAATTCAAATTTTCTGTGGATTTCACTAGTATTTTATCTCCTCACACAACCCCATAAGAGCCTTCCCCATCCAATTAAATGGATTGTTCTTTAGGTCAAAATGAACTAAAAAAAAAAAAAAGAGACAGACGCAAACAAAAATCAACCCTGGTTATAAAATTTTCCTAAAGTTTCCCAGTTTTAAAATTACTTTAAAAACCAATAAAGTTGTGTTGATTTGTAGCATAGCAGCATGTTACCACTATTGCTAAAGCGAAAAAAAAATTTCCCCAAGTTTTAATGTTTACTTTCTAAATAATATTTTATTCATGGAACTAAATCACTCTTGATAATAAGCTCCATTAGCATGATGTAATGTGGTGCTACAAGATAAAGGCATCATTTTACAACTAATATGACTGATAATTCTGTATCTTAACGAAGATAAAGTGGTTTACCATTTCTTAAAATTATTTTTATAGTGCTTAAAAAGTAAGCTTTTTTTGTTTGGAGAATGAGAAAAAACATGTCTGAACTTCACTTGTGAATACTCTGAAAATTAATCACCCTCCCATTCTAATCTGAAATCCTTAGAGTCTCATTCATTCAGATACAAGAATAGGAGGAAAGAGTCCATTGATGTGAAATCAATATCATCTCGAGGCAGTGATGGTAAGAAGTTTTTCAGATTTCTCTGACCTTTTTAAAGTGTAGAAAATGACAGAGGAATGTGTTCAAGAATTCATCAGCATATAAACCCCAAGGAATAGGATTTCAACTAAACTGGCTTTATTTGTTTTTTCAGTATGCAGAAACTATTTTAGTTTTTTGTTTTTAATTATTTTATACTTCATATAGTCTTTGTCTTCTCTTTGAAACAGCTCCATGCTTTTTTCTTTTTAGCCTAAAGTGTTTTGGGCCACATAACTACCCAAGCAGCTCAGAGTTTAAGTAGCTCACCCAAGATCACTCTTGGGTGCTAGTGGCAGAAAGGGGACCAGAGTCTTAGCTTCCCAACTTCCGACACAAACCCGTTTTTCAGTGTCCCTGCTACGTGCCCTTACCTTCTGTTAATAAAATGTCACAGATAAACTCTGTGAGTGAGAATTTAGCAAAAAACATTTCGATCCTGCAAGGCAGAATTTAGCAAAACATTTCTTGAGTTCAGTCAGTCAGGACTAAGTAACCAATTGGCTTTGCAGGGAGATGGAAAAGTCGAAGATGAGTCTAACATTTAATTCCTAGGTGTCTGGGAAATTATAAATGATATTTAGAGAAATAGGAAAGTCTCCAGGTATGGCTACATTGGGAGTTGGGGAGAAGATGATGAGTTTTATTTTAGTGGAGATGCCTAGGAAGCTAAAATGCAAGACTGGTGCTTATGGCTAGAGATATGGATTTGGGAGTCCTAGAGGTGATAGATGAAACTAGGAGAGCAGAGGAACATCTCTGAGGGCTGTGTCTGTGTGTATGTAGAATAAAAGACAGAGTATCTACGTCCAAGGCTCAAAGGCATACCCTCAGTATGGCATACTCCTCAGTGAGAGAGGAGCAGAGGAAATAGGGCCATTGAAGAGGACAGAAGAGCTGGGAATGAGGCATGTGAGTGCAGTTTCACCTGAACCAAGAACAAGAAAGGATCAAGAGAAAGGAGATGGGCAGCAGTGTTAACTGCTACAGAGATAGAGATAGAGAACAGACTAATGGATTTCACTCATCCATTTAGATTTTATTTAGCAAGTGGAAGGACAGATTCTAGGGACATGTGGAGTGGATGGTTAGTGGCTATGACAGAAAGGAGAAAAGTGGGATGGTAGCTTAAGGGAATAAACAGGAAGATCAAGTGAAGGAATTTTCAGTCCTTCAGGTCAAAATGGGAAACCTGACTGTAAGGGAAGTGGCTGAAACAGCAAGGACTGAAGAAGCTAGAGACAAGATGGGTAATTCATAGAGTAGAGTTCCATAGGGCATGTGAGGCGTTGGGACCAATAATGTGAAGAAGAGAATGTGGATTAAAATATTTTGAGGTGGATTGAGGGTATAGCTAGACAGAACATTTTAGATGGAGAGCATAATGAATGAGGGAGTTTAAACTGGATTAGCTCTGTTTTCAGAGCAGAGTTTAAAGGGGGATCACCATCATCCAGAGCATGGGAGACGTGGAGGTTGAAGAGTATAGAAGAGGTCTTCAGTGGCTACAGTGCTATCAGCAAGAGAGGACCACAAAAGTGGCTGAGCAGCAGGCAGGCTCTGTTGATATTGGCTAGATTAAGTTATCCCATCTTTCCTGCCTGCCTTGCAGGGAGTGGTAGGAAGATCTGATGAGAACAGTGCTTTCGAATAGGTAATGTTTACATGTGGTTTGAAATTCAAAAAGTTTCTAAATAAATAAACACATAATAAATAGTTATAAATTGCAATAAGTGCTATAAAAAAAATAGTATTCTATGAATGAGAGTTAGAGTAGAGCCTAATTTAGCTAGAGTGAGATGCATGGTCAGGAGGCTTTCTCTGTAGGAGAAGTAATGTTTAAAGTAAGACTGGAAGCATGAAAGATGTTAGTCAGGAGAAGACGATTCCAAAGTTTCTACTTTTTGAATTTCAAACCACATGTAAGCATTACCTATTCAAAAAATTAAAATTATTTTTTAAATGAAGATTTCTATAGATAAGAGCTAAACCACCATTGATTATCAGTATTAAGAATCTAAAGGCTCCATAAGGGAGAGTAACTGGCCTTAATTCATACAAGATTAAGCTCAGTCTTCCACCCCACACCCTCACCATAAACCATGCCTCCTCTCCCACACTTCACAGTTAATTATATGGCCAACAGCTTAGTTAACGGGAACTACCCAACTTGGGCTTCAGCAGCTTAGGGGAAACTAAGTTTCAGGGGATATTAGGCTGTTGGGATGGGAACATAGGATCCTATTAACCTTCACTGAAATTCCCCTTGTGGGCCTGGGACTCATAAAGCCCTCCTGCCTCCAGCAAATAGTGGCTGAGCTGTCATCCTTTGAAGATTCAGAGATGGGTGAATTCATTGCTTTTCAGGAGATAGAGGGAGGGTAGTCCTATGAGAATCAGGCACCCTGCCCATGAAGGGACTCCTTTTCTGCACTTAGACAAACTGAGCCACCAGAACCAGATACAACTTTCTTGCCTTCTCTCCAGCACCAAGCCTACAGAACCGTCGCTATCCATCCATGGCAAGGATCCACTCCATGACCATCGAGGCTCCCATCACAAAGGTGAGTGGCAACTTATGCCTCTGCCTCCACCTCCACCTCCACTCTCAAACTGGGCCACCTAGTACTGGGCTAGGTGCTAGAGATATCGTGATGAATGAAATACCATTGATATCATGGAGTTTACAGTCTAGCAGAGGAAAAGGGTATTAAATAAATAAACACATAATAAATAGTTATAAATTGCAATAAGTGCTATGAAAAAAATAGTATTCTATGAATGAGAGTTAGAGTAGAGCCTAATTTGGCTAGAGTGAGATGCATGGTCAGGAGGCTTTCTCTGTAGGAGAAGTAATGTTTAAAGTAAGACTTGAAGCATGAAAGATGTTAGTCAGGAGAAGACGATTCCAGGCAGCAGGGAAAAGTAAGTGAAAAAGTGCCGAGGTGGAAAAGGGGAGGTTAGGGCATCTGAGGACTTGAAAGAAAGCCAGGGTGGCTAGAGATCAGAGAGCTAAGGGGAGAAGATGGTGACATGTGGTTGAGCAGGGCTCAGTTCATGGAAATGAAAGAGATCATCTATGGAAGAACTGTGGAGTAGGAGAGAAGGACCAGGACTGATCTCTGAGAACTGTAACCTTTACAAGAGCTAGAAGAGAAGGGTCAGCAAAGGAGACTGAGGAAAAGTAGTCACTAGATAGGAGAAACAGCGGGAGAGTGTAGGATGATAATAGCGAAGAGAAAAGTGTGCTTCAATAAGAAGGGAGTGGTGTTGAGCAAACACTGGTCATTTTGAACAGTAAGATGTGCTATCATCTGATTTCTTTTGGATTCCTGGTATATGTATGACTTTCGGGAATTAGAATCCTAATCTTCTCAAGTTTATTCTTTACTTCCTCAGGTCATAAATATAATCAATGCAGCCCAAGAAAACAGCCCAGTCACAGTAGCAGAAGCCTTGGATAGGGTTTTAGAAATTTTACGGACCACAGAACTGTACTCCCCTCAGCTGGGTACCAAAGATGAAGATCCTCACACCAGTGATCTTGTCGGAGGCCTGATGACTGTGAGTAATGAGGGGGAGACATTCAGTGTACTCTACCACTGCCAGTTGTTGCTGAGTCGATTCTAACTCCTGGTGACACCATGTGTCAGAGTAGAACTGTGCTCCATAGGGTTTTCAATGGCTGATCTTTTGTAAGTAGATAACTAGGCCTTTCTTCAGAGACACCTCTGAGTGGACTTGAAGCTCCAATCTTTCCTTTAGCAGCCGGGCACATCAACCATGTGCACCACTCAAGGAACCCAAATGCACTCGAGAGGGTTCAATATAAACTGTTGCCTGTCATTGCTCTTTGGGCAATACCTGCTGTATGGGCAAACATCAGCATAACCAAAAGCAACTGCATCAAAAATTATGCATATGTGTGGTATTATTCAAGTGATTCTTGCATTTATCTTTCTACGAGGCTGACTGACCATAGCAATGGAAGATATTTCTTGAGAATTCTTATTACAGTAAGGAGGAAAAAGGCAGTTGACTGAGGGCTAAATATGCAAGTTAGTAGATTATACAGGCCCTTGTTTACTTCTTCTTCCTCTTGATTGGGTACAGTATTGGACTGAGGGTCATGGCTAGGTCTCCTAAAAGATCTCAGGATCTTTATCCATATAGTGAAAGGGTTGGACTTAGACGACAGCAGTAGTTTTTAAAACCTTAGCTGTAGAATCCTTTCTTTTTTTCCAAATAAAAGCTTATATAGAAGCTCCACTTATAATCAGATAAAAGCAGAGCGGAGCTGTTCTGGTGTGGGGGGTGGAGGAGTGAGGGGTAAATAGGAGCGGCACCGAGCCCGGCCGGCTCTCCAGGAAGCACCATTCGTAACCACCTAGAGCAGCTGATTTCTAAGTACTCATCCTGTTGTTGTGTTTTGATGTACTCTATTTGGCTGTAATCATCCACCAGCAAGTGAAGACAAAGGACAAAATTCAGATTATTCCTTTGGGATCCTCATCAGAGGCTCAACCTGGAAGAACGGGAGAAAAAGAAAGACCTTGCATCATCATCTATGACTTTTACTGTGAAGGTTTTTGTCTAGCTCTGCCACCAAATGCTGGGCATTGACTGGCTTTCTGGTCCATTCTCAGTCTTCCTACTACAGGTCTCTGATGAGCCTGTAATTTGAGTGGCCTTCCATTCCTTTCCTACCCCTGGGCAGACCTTGGACATCCCATCCCAGTGCAGTGTAGACTTCAGTTTCTAGAGAACACTGGCAAGCGTCTGTCAGGAGGTGGCCACTGCAGAGCTGCAGCAGGAAGATCTCTGATATAGCATCAATTTACACTGCCCCACACACACCCCCCAACTTGGTCACTCCCCTTCCCCCACCATACCATCTTGGGTTTCGTCTCCAGATAAAACTCTAGGGAACCAGTGCAAGATTCCTCTTCATTTTTATGTGACTTTGCAGAAGAGAGAAAAAGGCAAAGAAAAAATGGAGGAGTCCTTGTGATACCTGCCTTAGAGGCATGGCAGGTATGGCCATTATTACTTACCAGTTTACATGATTTTTAAAATTAAGCTCTTGGCCTGAAGATCCAAGGTCTGACTTCTGGTGAGCTCTTGATTAATATTACTTTAAACCTCAGCACACACTTTTGGGGGATGACAGACAAATAAGCAGTTACAAATGACTTAAGCAGTGATCTGACTACTCAGGGATCAAAGATGGAGGGAAAGAACCTGAAATTCTAGAACATTTGCGGTCTAGGTCAGGTTAAAGAGTCTAGTAAGTGACAGAACTAGCATCAGAATTCTGCCTACTGCTTTATGCTGCCTCTCCAAAGAACTCAAAACCAGAAACTTTTTCTTTAAAAGCTAGCAGCAATGCTTACGTTGCAAAACAGAAAATACAGTCGAAAAACAATTACTTTGGATATCAGCAGAAATTAGCCCAAACTTTTTAAGGCTTTACATTAGAATGTCATCCCCAAAATGTGACCCAGGGCTTTGGCTCCCCAAAAATGTAAATCAAAGAACACAGAAATAAGACTGTCCCTATGAGATACATGGGGTCGCTCCAAAATAACCTGCATCCAAAGCAAGATCACTTCTGTGGTTTCACTTATGTGGCTTCAAAATGCCAGAAGAGAAAGACAGCATGAGAATAGATCCAACCTACAGCTGAGGAGTAAGACCTGAAGGCAGTCATATCCACTTTATTCTCAATTCTCCATATCCTGCGGGTAATACTGGCCCTGGTGGTGCAGTGGTTAAGAGCTCAGCTGCTAACCAAAAGGTCGGCAGTTAGAATCTACCAGTTGCTCCTTGGAAACCCTGTGGGGCAGTTCTACTTGACGCTATAGGGTCACTATGAGTTGGAATTGACTCAACGGCAACGTATTTGGTTTTAGGAGCCCTGGTGGCACAGTGGTTAAGAGATTGGCTGCTAACCAAAAGGTCAGCAGTTTGAATCCACCAGTCGCTCCTTGGAAACCCTATGGGACAGTTCTACTCTGTCCTGTAGGGTCGCTATAAGTTGGAATAGACTAGACAGCAATGAGTTTTTCTGTGTGTAATAGCCACGGAAGGGAGAGTATCATCTGTCTTGTAGCTGTTGTTCTGATTTCATTTTGAGCTCTACTTCAAGTTGGAGATCCAGACTGAAATCCAGATTTGATCCAGGATTCAAATCCCTTTGCATAATAAAGGAAGTGAGAGAATAATGATAAAGGGATATAAAACATTGTATATTTCTGCTTCTAACAGCATCTTTTCTTTATTCCAGGATGGCTTAAGAAGGTTGTCAGGAAATGAGTATGTGTTTACTAAGAGTAAGTTTTTATCTACCCACTTGTTACTGATAACCCATTTTCGGCCTGTGTTAGCCCAAGTGTTGATTATTGCTTGGGGAGGGCCTTGGTGTTTCTTCCGATTGGTCTCATTGAGTTTAGGCATCTCTGTGGTCTACATTTGAAATTAGGTCTTCTAATTAAAATTACTTCCCTGAGAGAACTGTCAGAATAAGAATTTTACATCTCTATACATTTGAACAGACAGTTAAATGAAATTATTTTCCTATTTGGGGGCTGTGAAGTTTAATAATGTAAGAGAAGGTCATTGAAGTGAAAATCTTCCTACTCTTGGAAGCTCAAGATTTTCTTTTTAGTAGCAATGGCAAAGATGATGACAAATGTTCAGGGGTACTCAAGATTCCATAATTAACCAGCCTTATTGCCCCATCTGTTTGCTCAGATGTGCACCAGAGTCACAGTCATCTTGCGATGCCAGTGACCATCAACGATGTTCCCCCTTATATTGCTCAATTACTTGATAATGAGGAAAGTTGGGACTTCAACATCTTTGAATTGGAAGCTGTTACACATAAAAGGTATGTGACTTTTCTGGCTGCAGGCAGGGGAGGATTGATGGCCACGCTCAACACTCTCATATCTGGAAAATTTGAGGGAGATATGTCCTTGCCACAAGAGACTGCACAGGTTCCGCTTTTCGTCCCATATTGGAGGATTGTCATATGAGCACAGACTGTGGCCTCTGAGTGAGCTCCTTTAACGAGAGAGAGGATTAGTGGCTAAGATGTGGGATCAGCCTGGCGATGACCTAGGATGAGGAAATACTAAGTTTCCTTCTCAGATCTACTTGGTCATTTGTTTTTACTGAGAGCCAAGAATTCTAAGTATTCTCAGTCCCAAAGTTGTTGAAGTCCCACCTTACAAAATGAATTTGTGAGCTCTTATTGAAGATACTATGTTTTTTCTTTTGGTCCATCCTAAAGGCAAGGGAAAGATGAGATAACTCCCAGGGTCCTCCCTATACTTGGAGAAGGCTATTTCTTCCCAGTGGTGTTGGTCTATTCATATAGGGTATGTACATGACTCTAAATGATGTGACTTTACTGAGACCACCCGAGCCATTCCTTTTCTCTTTAGACTCAGTAACTGCTTCGGTGGGCACAAAGAAGCACAGGACTTATATGGAGAGAGAGTGGCACTGCCAGGGACCTTTCCTGGTAGTCAGAGCAACTGAAAGGTTTATGACTTAGAGATAACCTAGAAATAATTTGTACTGACCACCGTGAGGCACCTGGTTCAGAAGAAGCGGCTGGTGAGGAAGGATGCTCTACTATCAGTTTTGGGAAGAGAAATTTTTATGCCCCTGTGCATGTGCAGTAAGCATCAGAAGAAAAATGCCTGTACTCCTCAGTGTCATCAAAGATTAAGTTTCAGGGCCAGTGAATACTGTGAACTATGGTTTGTTTTCCTATTTTCCAGGCCATTGGTTTACCTGGGCTTAAAGGTCTTTTCCCGGTTTGGAGTATGTGAATTTTTGAATTGTTCTGAAACCACTCTTCGGGCTTGGCTGCAAGTGATTGAAGCCAACTACCACTCCTCCAATGCCTACCATAACTCCACTCATGCCGCCGACGTCCTGCATGCCACTGCTTTCTTCCTTGGAAAGGAAAGAGTAAAGGTAGAATTTTGATATCATGATCTAGTTACCTGCCTGGATTAAAGATTCCAAGAACTCGATCTTAGTAAATACATTGGGCAAACAGCTATTTTAAACCAATTTGACAGAGTTTTATGGACTGCTAAATTGACCGGTGGTTTTGGCGACGCTATGAGTCAGAATCAACTCGACAGGAGGTTTATGGGTTTTAGTGTTTTAGACATGACTCTTTCTCTTACTCCTCCTTTCCCCTAAATGTCTAAAACAATAATTTATGCCACAGCAGAGATTCCTTTACATGCTTGGCTGGTCCATAAACTCATTCTTCAAATGTTCTTTAGGAGGCTTTTGTGATACTGGCTTAGAGGATGGAACTTAATAATTACAGCAGATGATTACAAGGTATAATGGTTATGTTTTAGGATCAGAATCTGGCCACTGGTATATTAGAAGCTAGGTAATAACGAGCCATTCAGCCTTCTGATGATTTATGTAATGTGTGTGTTTGTGTAGATGTGAATGTGCATATCTGTATATTAATGACTTTTGCATAATTCTGAGAGTGTTCCATGTCCCTTAGTGTTACTTAACAGTTCAGTACTTCCATGTACGGGTGCTAATTTATAGGGCAGCTCTATGTACAGCCCCATGTACAACTGTCCTTCCCTCCTTCCCAACTACCATTACTTGCACAATGAAGCTTGTAATTCCTTTGCAACAATTAGAACTAAAGCTTAAAATACAGATGCCTCTGGGAGAAGTGCCATACAGAGACTGAAATTCACATTCATTTGTAAAATGCCTAGCATTATATCATTTTCTTAGGGGAGGTGTTGATGAGGATTAAGACCCAGTGGATTTACAGAGAAGAGTGAATGAATAGTTGGGCAGGTAGGAGGAGGTAGAAAAAGTACCAAAATGCTGTTGTTGTTAGGTGCCGTTGAGTCAGTTCCAATTCATAGCGACCCTGTGTACAACAATAGAATGAAACATTGCCCAGTCCTGCACTATTCTCACAATCGTTGTTTATGCTTGAGCCCGTTGTTGTAGCCACTGTGTCAATCCATCTTGTTGAGGGTCTGCCTGTTTTTCGCTGGCCCTCTACTTCACCAAGCATGATGTCCTTCTCCAGGGACTGGTCCCTCCTGATAACATGTCCAAAGTATGTGACATGTAGTCTCGCCATCCTTGCTTCCAAGGAGAATTCTGGTTGTACTTCTTCCAAGACAGATTTGCTTTCTTTCGGCAGTCCATGGTATATTCAATATTCTTTGCCAACACCACAATTTGAAGGTGTCAATTCTTTGGTCTCTTATTCATTGTCCAGCTTTCGCATGCATATGAGGCGATTAAAAACACCATGGCTTGGTTCAGGCACACCTTAGTCTTCAAGGTGACATCTTTGCTTTTCAAAACTTTAAAGAGGTCTTTTGCAGCAGATTTGCCCAATGCAATGCATCTTTTGATTTCTCGACTGCTGCTTCCTTGGGTGTTGATTGTGGATCCAAGTAAAATGAAATCCTTGACAACTTCAATCTTTTCTCCATTTATCATGATGTTGCTTATTGGTCCAGTTGTGAGGATTTTTGTTTTCTTTATGTTGAGGTGTAATCCATACTGAAGGTTGTTGTCTTAGTTATCTAGTGCTGCTATAACAGAAATACCACAAGTGGATGGCTTTAACAAAGAGAAATTTATTTTTTCACAGTCTAGTAGGCTAGAAGTCCAAATTCAGGGCGTCAGTTCCGGGGAAAGGCCTTCTGTCTCCGTTGGCTCTGGAGGAAGGTCCCTGTCATCAATCTTCCCCTGGACTAGGAACTTCTCCGCATAGGAACCCCAGGTCCAAAGGACGCGCTCTGCTCCCAGCACTGCTTTCTTGGTGGTATGAGGTCCCCAAGTCTCTGCTAGCTTCCCTTTCCTTTTATCTCTTGTAAGGCCACACCCCAGGGAAACTCCCTTTACATTGGATCAGGGATGTGACCTTAGTAAGGGTGTTACAATCCCACCCTAATCCTCTTTAACATAAAATTACAGTCACAAAATGGAGGACAACCACACAATACTGGGAATCATGGCCCAGCCAAATTGATATGCAGGTTTTTTTTGGAGGACATAATTCAATCCATGACAGTTGTGGTCTTTGATCTTCATCAGTAAGTGCTTCAAGTCTTCACTTTCACAGGGTTGTGTCATCTGCATAACACAGGTTGTCAATGAGTCTTCCTCCAATCCTGATGCCCCGTTATTCTTCATACAGTCCAGCTTCTCGGATTATTTGCTCAGCATACAGATTGAATATGTATGGTGAAAGGATACAACCGTGATGCACACCTTTCCTGACTTTAAACCACGCAGTATATTCTTGTTCTGTTTGAACAACTGCCTCTTGATCTATGTACAGATTCCTCATGAGCACAATTAAGTGTTCTGAAATCACCATTCTTCACAAGTTACCCATAATGTATTATGATCCACAGTCGAATGCCTTTGCATAGTCAGTGAAATGCAGGTAAACATCTTTCTGGTATTCTCTGCTTTCAGCCAGGATGCATCTGACATCAGCAATGATATTCCTTGTTCCATGTCCTCTTCCGAATCTGGCTTGAATTTCTGGCAGTTCCCTGTCGATATACTTCTGCAGCTGCTTTTGAATGATCTTCAGCAAAATTTTACTTGCGTGTGATATTAATGATATTGTTCAATAATTTCCACATTTGGTTGGATCACCTTTCTGGGGAATAGGCATAAATATGGATCTCTTCCAGTCAATTGGCCAGGTAGCTGTCTTCCAAATTTCTTGGCATAGACTAGTGAGCACTTCCAGTGCTGAATCCGTTTGTTGAAACATCTCAGTTGGTATTCCATCAATTCCTGGAACCTTGTTTTTCACCAATGCCTTCAGTGCAGCTTGGACTTCTTCCTTCAGTGCCATCTGTTCCTGATCATATACTGCTTCCTGAAATTGTTGAACATCAACCAATTCTTTTTGGTATAGCTACTCTGTGTATTCCTTCCATATTCTTTTGATGCTTCCTGTGTCATTTAATATTTTCCCCATAGAATCCTTCAGTATTGAAATTCAAGGCTTGAACTTTTTCTTCAGTTCTTTCAGCTTGAGAAATGCCAAGTGTGTTCTTCCCTTTTGGTTTTCTATCTCCAGGTCTTTGCACATGTCATTATAGTACTTTACTCTGTCTCCTGGAGCTGCCCTTTGAAATCTTCTGTTCATCTCTTTGACTTCATCATTTCTTCCTTTTGCTTTAGCTACTCGATGTTCAAGAGCAAGTTTTAGAGTCTCTTCTGACATCCATTTTGGTCCTTTCTTTCTTTCCTGTCTTTTTAACGACCTCTTGCCTTCTTCATGCATGATGTCCTTGATGTCATTCCGCAACTCGTCTGATCTTTGGTCATTAGTGTTCAACACGTCAAATCTATTCTTGAGATGGTCTCTAAATTCAGGTGGGATATACTCAAGGTCATACTTTGGCTCCCCTGGACTTGTAATTTTCTTCAGCTGCAACTTGAACTTGCATATGAGCAATTGATGGTCTGTTCCACAGTTAGCCTCTGGCCTTGTTTTGACTGATGATATTGAGCTTTTACATCATCTTTTTCCACAGATGTAGTTGATTTGATTCCTGTGTATTCCATCTGGCAAGGTCCATGTGTATAGTCGCCATTTATGTCAGTGAAGAAAGGTATTTGCAATGAAGAAGTCATTGGTTTTGCAAAATTCTATCATGTGATCTCCAGCATCGTTTCTATCACCAAGGCCGTATTTTCCAACTACCAATCCTTCTTTGTTTCCACCTTTTGCATTCCAATCACCAGTAATTATCAGTGCATCCTGATTGCATGTTTGACTCAATTTCAGACTGCAGAAGTTGGTAAAAATCTTCAGTTTCTTCATCTTTGGCCTTAGTGGTTGGTGCGTAAATCTGAATAACAGTTGTATTAATTGGTCTTCCTTGTAGGCATATGGATATTATCACTGACAGCTTTGTACTTCTGGATAGATCTTGACATGTTCCTTTTTGATGGTGAATGCAATGCAGCACCAAAATGGAAAGGAGGAAATGGAAAGGTCTGACTTGTTTCCTTCTCAGTTTTACTCTCAGAGTCGGTATTCACTCTCATCAGCAAGAAAGCAAAGAATGTGGTCCAAGAAGGATGCGTTTGAAGGTTTTTGTCTTTTAATTTCTAAACAAAACTAGTTCTAAACAAAACTAATGGTGATATCAGCCTGTGTTTTTAAAACACTTTTCTTTGAGAAGTTAAAACCCTTCAGGATTCTTAAAACAGGTTCATGTTCCTCCATTTTACATTGCATGAAATATTATACAGCTGAGGTCACACAATACCAGTTAAGAATAGGACCCAGGTCATTAACTTCAAGACAAAAGTGATCTATAGCCACAGAAGTCTGAGTTACAGGTGAACTTTGCTTAAGCAGACCTACCACAGGAAAACATAGGTTTACATGCTTGATAAATTAGGGAACGCTGAGTCACTTTATTATCTCCCTTAATACCCTTCCCCGCAAAAGAAGCTTTTTTCTTTAAATAGTGAGTTCTGCTAATACTCTTAAAAGTCTGTTCTCAAATAGCAGCAATAGAAACAAGTCTAAGACTGAAATAATATGTTTGGAATTCCAAAAACATTTTCTAACTCTGGCAGCTCCTGCCACAGAATCAGAAAATTTAGAGTTGTTAGGAATTTTGGAGAATCAGACTGGAAATGGTTCCTGAGCTCAGGAGTTTAGTGACCAGCCCAAGATCCTTGGTTAGAAGCAGAGCATTTTGAAGTCCACCATGAGGCACTTCCAGTGGGACTTACTTCTAAGGCCTCTTCCACAGACCTGCTGCCACTGATGAAGGGGGTCAGAAAAATCTGTTCTACCGAAGTACCTGAGTCATCTTCACCCGTAATTTCTTTATGAGAGAAGGCTGAAATTTTTTTTAAATTTTTTTTTTATCGTACTTTAGGTGAAGGTTTACAGAACAAATAGTTTCTCATCAAAC